TGAGAGATAGCTACAGCTAATATATATGTTACTTAATAACAATTAAACAATGAAGATTTTCCGAGTCCAGAATTTTAGAAAGATTTTTTTTTTTGCCCTGAAATATCTGTTCATCATCCTTCAGTAGCTGAAGCTTGTTAGTAATTCTTAGTTAACCAACTGAATACATGAATTAATTATTAAATAAATTCTTACATAATTCGTAATTGTAAAAAAAAATAATTATAAATTAAAGGGAGAAAAAGACACTTGTGCGTCCCCTCTCACTAATTATAGTCACCACTACTATATTATATTATTCAATGACTTTTATAAATTTATTTTCAAGATTCATTATTATCTAGACTTGGTATATATTTAAGAGGTGGTCATCTGTGTCAATATACACGTCTCGACACTAGAAAAAATTATCCACGTGTTGCACTTGTCTCTTATTCATCAACGTGTTAGTATTCTACATCATTAATGTAATGATACGTGTCTCAGGACGCATCACCATGGTATGTTGCAAGCACATAGTATGTTGGTACACCATGGTATGTTAGTACATCATGATATGTTGGTACACCATGATATGTTGGTACACCATGGAATGTTGGTACAAGGATATCTTCTACAACTCTTGCCAACCACTGGTCCAGTTTGTGCGCATTACCTACTTCCATTAACATGTCCCGCCCACCTGCAACACCTTCTCCATCTGCTGTATCCCTCTTGTAGTTGCATTAAATAACTCCAGCCTCTGCTTGAGATAGATCAAGAACCCCTGAACATCTGTCAGACTAAGAGACTGAACTGTTAAATTACCTCTCCACTCACACCATTATCTCTAGTAACAAAGTCGCCTCTATATTAGACTGAAAAAAAGTTTGCAGAATATTGTATATCATTATTATAATGAGAGAGTGAAGTGTTTTTGATGGCAAAGTGCTAGTGAAATGCAGCGTAAAAACCTCTCGTGCTATCAACAAAACTTAGGCCAACTTTTATAATCTTAAATCACATTCAAAATCTGTTTTTTTTTTTTTTTTTTAAATATCTTCATAGTATTTTGTAGGTGCCTCTTAGAAGTTCTAAACGCTACATGCAGGTGTTTCTTCATTAGTACAAGGATATACGTTCAAAATTAGTATAATTGCTTTATCAAGTTAAACATTAGATTTTGCTGTGTAAGTGGCCAGTTTATTATGTCCTTGATATACGTTAGGTTACACTTAATGCCTGTGTGTTTTCCTGCAACTTGTTTCTTTCGCTCAGTATTTTGGGAAATATGTTTTTTTCTCAGGTACTTGGGATTTCATTCATTTAGTAACTGCATAATGTAATGTGTTGTCGCTTAGGAAATAAAATAATAATTTTGGCACAGTTTAAACGTTTAATTTCAATGGAAGTTTTCTTCCTGAGTTAAAAATTAGTGCATTTTGACCTTCAAATTGTAGTGAGAAAGATTAATATAGAATTATAAAACATTAATTGTTATTTTGTTCTAACCAGCGACAGCAGAAGCAACACCATCAACACCAGCAGTAACAGCGACAGCAGAAGCAACACCATCAACACCAGCAGTAACAGCGACAGCAGAAGCAACACCATCAACACCAGCAGTAACAGCGACAGCAGAAGCAACACCATCAACACCAGCAGTAACAGCGACACCAGAAGCAACACCATCAACACCAGCAGTACCAGCGACAGCAGAAGCACACCAAAACCAGCAGTACAGCGACAGCAGAGCAACACACTCAACACCAGCAGTACCAGCAAAAGCAGAAGCAACACCACCAACACCGCAGTTACGACGACAGCAGCAACGGAAACACACTGAAAACATCAGTCAGTAGAGACAGCAACAAGAGCAGAATAAGAACAGTTAACAGCAGCAACAGAAACTACTGCATAACATCAGCATCAGTAGCAATAAAAGACAGCACACACAAACAGTAAGCAGCAACAGAAAGCGAACGCATGAGACCGCAACAGAAACGGCAATATAACATTAGCATTTGCTCATAATAGCAAACAAAGCAGGTACGACGCAGCATTAACATTATTAGCGGCAACACGAAAGAGACTGTCACACTGACGAGGAGTGAGAGCAGCAGATGCATGTTTGACGATGAGTAATAGTGTTGTGGTGATACTGATGGTGACAACCCGGACCACTGCGAGGATCCTCACTGGATCACCAAGACAAGTGGACGATGGCTGTTCCCTCCCAGGTGGGATCCATCTTATATTTGTATTATTATATTCACGTCAAAACGTTAATTACCGTTGAGATATACTACTTAATGAGGTTTGATCTTCGGAAGAGAAGGAAAGATTCAATGCTTGGATAAAAACCCCTTCACAAGTACATTTAAACCCCTTGAAACCATTTATTAACATTCTTTTTTTTGAATGCCCAATCGTTTTTATGCAAAGAATTGTACATAATGCTAGAGATTTTTTTGCTATCAAATTTATGTAATCTGTATTTAATGTTTAAAGTAATGTTGGTACCAGCTAATTTTGGGTTTTTTGACGTTTTTATTTCATTTTAAATGACCGCGATGCTTACCCGGGAAAATTTTTAATAGCAGTGTATACATTCAAAAAAATAATTTCAGTGTTTTAAGGGTTTAAAATTTTTAAAAACCATGGCTTTGTGGAAGAATGAGCAATTAACAGAGTGAGTGCCATTCCCAGTTGTTTTATGTTGGATAACTTTTTGCTAAAAATTAAAATTTTTATCCTAATTTACACACACACACACACACACACACACACACACACCAACACATTCAGTGGCCCTTTATCAGGTACTCTTTTGGTACTTTATAATGCCCCCTTTTCCCCCAGAACAATTGAATTCTTCAGGGACATAGATTTAAATGTTACGGGAAAACTTTCCCTTGGGGTTTCTGGTCAATGTTGACATGTTTAGCATCACTCGTTGCTGCAGATTTTTTCGGCATTTTCTGCTGAAAATCCCCTTTTCCCCACCTCTCCCAAAATTTGCCCTCCCACTGCTTTCGTCTGAAATCGAGTTTTTTCGATGGGCGACGTTTTTTCCAATCTTTAATATCCAGCTTTGATTGCTGTGCGATTTTAACCCCCCATTTTTATCTTTGGTGGGGAGGCATCCCAGGTATTGCTGCGTCCCAATCTACCTCTTGGTTCGACTGTTGGGGTTTCAGGGACTTTCTTCTGTATACTGTGTTGTAACGCATATTGTTTGAGTTACTGCCCCTTTTCGCTTGAACCAGTCGGGCCATTCACCCCTTTACCTCTTTCTTAACAAGGCATTTTTACCCGCACAATGCCACCATGGAGGTAGCAGTTTCTGAGACAATGAGACCCAAATCGTCTGGCACCAACAATCTTCTAGGATCAAAGTCACTTGATCACATTTTCCCCCTTTTTTTTTGGCCTGAACTGCATGAGTGCATCCCTTTTTTGCAAATGAAGGGCTGCCAGTTTTTGATGAATAGAAATTTTTCTTTTTCGAACAGGTGGATGGTACCTAATAAATGACATGGTATAATTTTATATATTATATATATATATATATTTATATTTTTATATTTATTAATTTTTTATTTGACCACGAAGAGTGGTATTGTCAATAACAACGTGCACTAGCCAAGGACTGAACCCTGCTTTGGCCGCCTCTGGTGGGGGAAAAAAAATAACGCCCCTTTCCACTAGACCCTACGATCCTTTAAAAGGGAGCGCATCCGCGAGCTGAATGTTGTACTCGCTACCCAGGCAAAATTCGTTCCCCCTCGATACGCTATCTAAAGGTCGTATGGTCTAGGGGGGGAAGGGCTTCATGTGTTTCGCCCACCTGAGGGGCAAAGCGCATGGGTTCGGTCCCTTTGGGTTGTGCAGGTTGTTATATGTCGTGCCCAATAGGCAGAACTAGCGATCTTGGCTTAAATAGCAAAAGCTCATCTTGCCCTGTAGGAAAGTAAAATTTGTGTATGCATAATTTCGCCAAAATCATTTTGAACCAACGAAAAAAATTATTTCACTGGTTTGTTTAGTATTACATTTTTGTAAACAAATAAAAAATATATTTAGTTGGGTTAGGCTAAAATAAATTGCGCTTGTTATAATAAGGTTAGGTAAGTTTTCTAAGTTCCTTTTGGTGCAAAATTATAATTTTTTACATGAACATTAATGAGAAAAATATGTCTTTAAACGTATAAGAGAAAATTTTAGAAAGGACTTAATTTTAAATGAGTTCTTGCTAATTGACCAGTTTTACATATTCGGCACGACATATATATCTATCTATCTATATATATATATATATTATATATATATATATATATATATATATATATATATTATATTATATATATATATATCCTATTTCAAATATTTCCTTCAACTGTAGGGTAACATATGAAATTGCATATATCTTTATACAACAGTGCAATTATCATTAAATGGATTAGGCATGACACCCCCATTAAATGGCTTCTATTCTTCAATCATATCATGCATTTAGACTTCAAATGGGGAATTGTGAAGCAGTATGTCTTTCTGATATAACTAGTGGACACTAAAACAATGTATGAATGAAGGCATCACATATATTGGCCATTAAGGAAGGAACTTGAGTTTCTTATATATGTCATAGCCACTAGAGGTACACAGAGGCCATGGTGAGACACAGAGGCCATGGTGAGACACAGAGGCCATGGTGAGACACAGAGGCCATGGTGAGATTACCTGGAGTAAATATTCGTGAAACAATATGAATACTACAGTAATTTAAGTATAATCTACAGAAAACTACATTTTCATATGAATTAACACAGTACAATAACTCCCATTGATAAAATTTAGTTCGGTGATAAATAATAGATAATGAAGCAGCTGTAATTAATTAATGTTACTTAATGTTAATGCGTTGATCTGGCTAATTAACTCTCTGAGATTGAAATTGCGTCAAATACATTTTTCTGCTCCATGTTTTATAAGAAATTTACGATTAATGTTAATTTTTTCTTCCGTCAGAAACAAGTGTAGCAACAGCAGATCTAGAGTACCATCCAACAGTAACTTACGTGCCCTGGGATGTTATACTTGCAAAAATGGCTAACTGGAGCAACCCCGTTAATCTAAGCTTTAGCGACGGGTTGCCCCTGCCAGTGCTCAGCTGTGTGCCAGAGTTTAAGGTCTGCCAAGATCCGACCCAATACTATGATGTTCTTAAGAGTTCAGTTGTCTTTAAGGCATTATGTGTGAGCACAGATTTTGCCTGCAAGACATTGATAATCGCCTATGACGAAGCTTCTCTCTGTCAATGTATCTCAGCCTCAGTTTACAACAAGGAAAGAACTGTGAATGATACACTAAAGTTGACAAATATGACTCTCCTTGATGAATGCCCATTGACCCATGATAATACTGATGAAAAAAAGAGCCAAGTCAGCACTCATATTCTGTACGGAACTAACATACTTAAGATTAACAATACAGTATTACCTTCACTGAATATCTGTACTCTGATCATTGACGATACTGGTGAGTGTAAAGACAAACTAGATTCGTGGCCGTTTACTATGGAAATATTTACTTGTAGTTTCATAATCATTTTTATAGCTTTTGTTCTGTTTACAATTTGGAAAAGAATAAGGAAAGAAAACGATCGAATCTCCGACCAAGAAAATATTGAGTTAGAGAGTGAAGTAACACTTATGGAAAACAACGAAATTACTTATTAAAGTCTCAGTGTAACGATCATATCCACACGACCGATCATATCAACACAACTGATCATATCCACACGACTGATCATATCCACACGACTGACCATATCCACATGACTGACCATATCCACACGACTGACCATATCCACATGACTGACCATATCCACACGACTGACCATATCCACATGACTGACCATATCCACACGACTGACCATAACTACACGACTGACCATAACCACACAACTGACCTTAACCACACGACTGGCCATATCCACACGACTGACCATATCCACTCTACTGATCATATACCTACACTACTAACCATATATCCACACGACTGACCATATCCACTCTACTGATCATATACCTACACTACTAACCATATACCCACACGACTGACCATATCCACACGACTGACCATATCCACACGACTGATCATATACCTACACTACTAACCATATGCCCACACGACTGACCATATCCACACGACTGACCTTAACCACACGACTGACCATATCCACACGACTGATCATATACCTACACTACTAAACATATACCCACACGACTGACCATATCCACACGACTGACCATATCCACTCTACTGATCATATACCTACACTACTAACCATATACCCACACGACTGACCATATCCACACGACTGACCATATCCACACGACTGACCAAATCCACACGGCTGATCATATACCTACACTACTAACCATATGCCCACACGACTGACCATATCCACACGACTGACCTTAACCACACGACTGACCATATCCACACTACTGATCATATACCTACACTACTAACCATATACCCACACGACTGACCATATCCACACGACTGACCTTAACCACACGATTGACCATATTCACACGACTGACCTTAACCACACGACTGACCATATCCACACGACTGACCATATCCACACGACTGACCTTAACCACACGACTGGCCATATCCACACGACTGATCATATACCTACACTACTAACCATATATCAACAAAACTGACCATATCCACACAAATGACCTTACCCATACGACTCACCATATCCAAACGACTGGCCATATACCCACACGACTGGCCATATCCAAAAGACTAGTTATATACCTACACTACTAACCCTCTACCCACACGACTGACCATATCTACACGACTGACCTTAACCACACAACTGACCATATCCACACGACTGACCATATCCACACGACTGACCTGAACCACACAACTGATCATATCCACACGAGTGATCGTATACCCACACTAGTAACTATATACCCACACGACTGACCATAACTACACGGCCTAACTCAACCACACGACTGACCATATTAACACAACTTACCATATACCCACACTACTAACCGTGTATCCACACAACTGACCATATCCACAAACTGATCTTAACCACACTACTGACCATATCTAAACAACTGGCCATGTACCCACATGACTGGCCATAACCACACGACTGATCACATACCCACACTACTAACCATATACCCACGCTACTGACCAAACCCACACGATTGACCTTAACCACACTACTAACCTTAACCACACGACTGACCATACCCACATGACTGACCATATCCACACGACTGACCATATCCACACGACTGACCATATCCACACAACTGACCATACCCACACGACTGACCATATCCACACGACTGACCTTAACCACACGATTGATCATACCTACTCGACTGAACTTACCCACACGGCTCACCTTATCCACACGACTGACCTTAGCCACACGACTGACCATATGCACACGACGGACCTTAACCACACGACTGACCATATCTACACGACTGATCATATACCCACACGAATGACCATATAAAGACAGTGATGATATTTAGACTTCCAGTACATTTCTCATTTCATAGAAGCTATCTGTTAATCTAAAGACACGAATGGTGAGGAGTAACAACAATGTAGAGGACATTTCTTTACAAGTTTGTGGATGAAAATGGAACATTATCGACAAGAATAACAGCGAAAACGACAGTACAAGCATTATGGAATATTTCTTTTTTTAAACGTTTCCGCTGCTTATCCGACTCTATAAAGCTCTCAACAGAACGTAATTTTATCCCAATAAAAATTATTCTGCAATAATTTCCTTTGTACTCCTACTAATTTAATTTTTGCAAGGCGCTCTGAGTGCCCTAATGCCAGCATGTATTTTACTGTTGAATCTACAGTATCTGACTTTTCAAGCGAAGTTCCTCGATGCCAGAAAATCTCTTGATTAATTAAACCTGACTTCCCTCCCTCTCTCTCTCTTTCATCAAACCTAATTACCTCTTATTTTCCTATGCGGTGTATTATTTCTACGTATTTTGCGATCCCTCCAGGAATGTAATAATATTAATAAGATAATAATCTACTGTTTCTGAGTGTCAGCATAATGTCACCATCACTCACTGTGACTTCCATCTGGGACTTTTTCTGTTAACAGCATAAATCATATTGAATGTGTATACTCTGAGCATGTTTTAAAATCGACATCTTTTTACTTCATAATGTAGATATTTCTTGCACTTCTTAACTTAGATTCGTCTTCTCGATGTCATGAACTATGATAGTCAAGCAAATGCTGAACATGTTCAATGAAACCAAGTGTGACTCTAGAAAAAGAGTCTAGTTTAAACTCCTTGGATACACATCACCTTACAAGTATCAAGGTACCTTGGATACACATCACCTTACAAGCGTCAAGGTACCTTGGATACACATCACCTTACAAGCGTCAAGGCACCTTGGATACACATCACCTTACAAGCATCAAGGTACCTTATATACAGATCACCTTACAACCAACAAGGCACCTTGAGTACATATCACCTTACAAGCATCAAGACAACTTGGATACACATCACCTTACAAGCATCAAGGTACCTTGGATACACATCACCTTACAAGTATCAAGGCACCTTGGATACACATCACCTTACAATCGTCAAGGTACCTTGGATACACATCACCTTACAAGCATCGAGGCACCTTGGACACACGTCACTTTACAAGTATCAAGGTACCTTGGATACACGTCACCATACAAGCATCAAGGCACCTTGGATACACATCACCTTACAAGCATCAAGGCACCTTGGATACACATCACCTTACAAGCATCAATGCACCTTGGATACACATCACCTTACAAGCATCAAGGCACCTTGGATACACATCACCTTACAAGCATCAAGGCACCTTGGATACACATCACCTTACAAGCATCAATGCACCTTGGATACACATCACCTTACAAGCATCAAGGCACCTTGGATACACATCACCTTACAAGCATCAAGGCACCTTGGATACACATCACCAGGAAAGCACCAAAACAATGTGATAAAAAATAGATTTTTCCCTGAATTTAACAAATATTGCTTGAATTTTTATGGTCGAAATATGCCCGCCCTCTATATTTTGAATTTATCTACCTATTATTATAAGCTTCTTTTAATTTATAAATATGGAGTGGAAAAGCTCAAGAAAATAGGCTACTTATTGGCCATAAAGAAATTAAGAGTTTAAAGTTTATTTTGAAGGCCAACAAAACGACATGAGAGTGTAACCAGCCAGAAAATTTCTTCGGAAGTTCACATGAAAATGTTGCAGTAATATTAAATGTGTTTTTGAAAAGACATTTGTGTTAACTTTTTTAATGTTTCTTAAATATGTATTTCACCAAATTAGAAAGAGGAATGATACTAAAGATTAAATGTGAATTTACATGGTTAAAAATGATTTCAACCCCTGAACTTGAGTGTTTCGTAAAGAACGTTTATACAAATTTATGAAATGAGACAATATTCTTGGATAGAGTATATCCCAGAACCTGTGAATCTGCAACGTCAAGTGTTCCAGAAGTGGGATAATATAAGGAGCCCAAGTGCTGTAAATCAACATTCACAAAAACTTTCTCAGCTTAACATCACAAGTGTAAAAATGCTCTAAATTCAGTTTCTTTTTTTTCTTTTTTTTTTTGTAAAAATATAATAAAACAATGGCCTGAGCTGTAAATCACTATTGCATGAAGTGCTCCCAAATCCTGTCAGAAATATTTAAAATTTTAGAGCTAGAGCTTAAATCTGAGAGCCTAGAGATCAAACAGCTATGCACATCATTACCTGGCCTGGATCTGTATCTTAACTCCTTCAACTGGCCCAAGTGTTTCATGTAGCAACACCAAACACTGCTTACACACCAGAAGTGTACTCGATCACGTACTACATGTTTCCGAAGTTAACCAATTTGATTATCAAGGTGAAGACTAAGTATTAACATCATCATGACAATTAGCACGAAAATGAAACATATTCGTGCACGTGTAGCTGAGCCACTAGTTATGAACCGCAACTTGAGCTAACAGAGGTCCGAAACTGCATATAATGGGCACCAACAACAGGCCAGAGGTTCATAGTTGTTTATAAGTTTACCATACACAACCTAAAAGATTCTTACATGTACATAAAAGCCTTTATATATGAGCTATAGGTCAGTGACTGAATAAGGTTTCAAACACAAATTAAGAGGATCCTGCACATGTAAATGAGCCTTCAGACACGAGTTAGACGTACCTAACTGTGCATATAGACCACCGAACATAGCTAGAGGTTCCTAAGACCCCCCCCCCAGATGTGAGTCAGAAATGCTCAGCCGCTTATAATGGCTACCGGACATGAGTCAGAGGCCCAAAATTGCATAAAAAAACTAAAATAAAATTTGTATTTGTGTCTTTGGAAAATACTTATAGGTCCGTATCACAATAAAGGCACCTATGATAGGCATATGCAGGACACAAAGTCGACTACTTTTACTAGCTACTTTTTCTTATTTTCGGTGTTTTTTTTTTTTACCCTATTCTGAGATTCGGGCAATTTTTTGCCAGTTTGCTTGCTGAAGGTCCCTAACTGTATAAATGTCAACAAAAATAAGCTAGATTATCTGCTGAAGAGAATCCCAGGAGGAGGTCGACGTATACAAATCAATCAATCTTCTGAGTTTCTGTCTCCATGTAGGTTATTACTGAGCGTTTATAAGTGTACATAAACTAGAGGTTTCTAGCTGTGCATAAATACAACCAGAAATGTTCCAGAGGCCCCGTATGTATATAAATATTTCTAAAACGAGCTTCAGGGGCCTCGGCATGTATAATGACCACTAATACAACCTAATAATTGTCAGTAGTGAATGCACGCAGCCAGAGATGATACGGAGGTCCTTAGCTAAAAATGAACCAATGGTCCCTAGTCAACTACAAAGAGCACCAGACATGTTGCACGGTGGGACCTGCCAGCCTACCAATGTCATACCTGTTCCCACTCCACTGTGTGTCGTTGATAAAGCAGTCCCTTCTGTTAATTCTTTTGGTGATACCAGTCGGCCTTCAACCATGGAAATTTTGGATAAGCCATCTACCTATACTAGGACACATGGAGTCACCAGTATGCTTGCTGCTACAGTTGTGACGACATTGGAGACTGCGGTTGAGTCGGCCAACTCTGCTAACAGTAATGGAGCCACCAATCAGCTTGCAGCTTCACTGTGACCATACCGGAAGCTGTGGATAAACCAGCCACACTCACACAGCGGCACCACTAGAAAACGCCAGAGTAATTGTGACGCCTTTTTCCTTAGGTGGTAAAAACGGAGCTTATTCGGGAGTACTTCTCAACAGCAAACCAACAGAAGCACATGACCTATTCCAACTCACTGAAATTACACATTCAAAAAAATTACCATAGAGAGCAGTTATGAAAAAATATATAAAGCTAGACAGTCAAAATGATGTCCCAAAAACAGAGATGAAAGCTTAAGCGAAGAATTCTCTATTGAAACAGAAAGTAGTTGTACAAAAGACAAGAATTTTTTTTTTTTTCCTTTCAAATTTTAAATAGGAATGTGTTGATGCGGTGCCTGAAAATGAGTAAGAAAAATGGTTATGCTAGAAAGAAAGTGCAATATATGCTGTTTGCGTTTAAGCATTTGTATACGATTCTTGCAGAGTAATAACCTAGTAACCTTATTGTATAACGAGAGAAAAATTGTAATAAATGACTACAGTGGATATGTTATAATTTTTTCATGGAACATTGCTTCAGTCAGTAAGAAGTTGCCCGACTTACATCACATTAGCGCAACTGATAACATTGATATGTTAATGTTGACATATAAATGCATTAATAGTAAACAATATCGATAAGGTGATGAAGACTAATATGCAACACTTAGATACTTTTATTATGATAACTTTTCTAAGCTAATTGACTACTTCAGTTAAAAGGAAGAGGCTGAAAGGTAAAGAAAGTATACAGTAGCAAATGCAGAATAATGGTCCCCTGTATAATGGAGTCAGATGAGGTGCAGAAGTTGAGAGCATCGTAGTCAATGTGTGACGAGGCCTTCTATATGAACTACCTCCATCACTTATACGTAGCTAAAAACAATGCTGATGATGTAATGATTCATACAGTATATATAAGAAGATGAATATCATTCATACTGAAATTGATATAATTGATTAATGTTCATCGTATCTGCATATAACACTAAGATATTAACAAGCAAACCACATGTCCCACTAATTTGTTTGCAGGGTAAATTAATCAGGTAAGATTAAGACTGAAAGGACTAAGTTTATTGCTGGTCAAAAGTGAAGCTTTCAAACAATATATTCACTAGAATAGGAGCAGAGGTTTTTACTTACAGTTGTGATGGGAGCTGTGAGTCGAGTGATTACTGTTTGGCCGGAGCCCCACACGTCACCTTTCGGGGTGGGGAGAAAGGGGGGGGGGGATATAGCGGGAGCTAGACTGACCCTACCTTGACAAGCAGCCGACAATCAAACTATCGTTACCATATACTCGCTCGCTACTCCTATCTGTTGAACTTTTCCCTCACACTCCCCCATACCAAGACTTATAGTCAAGGAGTATAAGAAGAATAGGCGAGGAAAAAGTTTTAACACGTGGAAGTCGAGTAAGGCACCAAATCTACTGTCACGACTTAACCAGTCAGAGAAATAATTGGATGAACCATTGATATACACAATATGGAACTTAAAAGCTTGGAGTGCCAATGGTTCTAGGTGTATCAAAGGTTTTTGATCCGTTTCTAAAATAAATTCTTTTCCCAGTAAATAAAATTTAAGTTTGGAGATACCCCACACAAGGGCCAACATTCCTTTTCTATGGTGGAGAATCTCGTTTCTGCAGGAGGGAAGTTTTAGATTTAATAAATATACAGGAACTTGGAGTGTGTATATTTTGTGCAGCAAGCACCTGACACCTATTGCAAGAACTATA